GTCCGTGAGACTTACAGTGGCCGCAGGGGACCCAGTTCATCACGAACCACCAGATGTTCAGCATGGAGGCGTGGTGGTAGACGTGCAGGACCGTGATCTGGTGGTTGTTCTTGCGCAGGATGAAGAAGAAGGTGTCCATGAACTCGATGAGTTTGGAGAAGTAGTACCACCAGAGGACACGGATAATCTAGGAGGAAGGGCGTCAGTGTTCCTCTGAAACATCTCCTCTGACATGTTTACTGACATCCTGGAATCAAGCCCAAGCACCCTGCTGGCCCCACAGCCCTTTGGCAGTCGGGAGCACTGGTCATTCTGCAGGTGGCTTTCCCCAAAGAGCATGACTGGGGGTGGGGGGAGGTTTGAAATGACAACAGAGCAGGTTCTGAAAGGGCCGCTGACACCCTTTAAGGCTCTAATAAAACAGGATTGTTTCTTCAGAAGGAGCCTGCAGAGCCATTGGGACAGAGAAGCCACCTGAAAGGCACTCCTGATTCCAGGGGCTGGCATGGGGCAGGTGGCAGGGCACGAGGCAAAGAAGAAGAGGAACTGAAACTGTCAGTGTCAGGTCCCCGCCCAGCTGAACAAGCCACACAGGTGCTCAAAGGAGATGACTGCCCTGCTGAGCTCGCTCCAGCCTTTTATGTAAGAACAAAGCACTCCAGAGTGGGAGTCAGAATCTGGGGCCACCACGCAGAGGGCACTCAAAGGAACCAATAAAGCATTTAAGATGTTACTCTATGATCCTGCTCACATAAATGTTGCACAAATACTGATAAATGTATGCATTTTCCTCCCTCAAAACTGTTGAGGACTTACTTTTGCAGAGAAGAAAACTTTAGTTTTCATCTTATACCTTTTCATGTGGTTCAAATTTCATCTTATGTGTACATAACGTTTTTTAAGATTCTTTTTAAAATGTCAATAGGGATGACCTGGACAGTGAGGTTATAAGCCGTTTTGTCTTTTGTGCAATTTCTTTATTAAAAAAAAGATTTAAAATAATAAAGAGGGACAGTACCTTCATATCTGCTTCTCCTGCGCTGCGTGTGCCCTGACAGAAGAAGTTGTATTTGCCTTCCCATACTCCTGTCACTAACTGAAAAAAAGGAGAAAAACCAATTACCAACACTATCAGAACCATTAAAGCCCTAATCAATAAAAGTTCATTAGTTTCAGAATCACTGAAAATTGACCTGGCTGAGGCAAGTTTGCTCTGAGCAAAACACATAACAACAGGGGAGTGTGAATTAAGTATAAGTTGAAATGATTTGAGTCTCAATTTCACAAGGGTGGACCCAGTGACAGAATGAGTGGACCCAGGAAGCACTCCAGGATGCAGTTTTCCAAGCTGCTTTTTTATCAAGCTCACTTCCTCCAGAGCGCTCAATTCCCGAAGCCATCACAAGCGCCCTGCCAACTCCAAACCCAACCACAGGCTCCCAGCCCTGCCCCCAGTGGCCTCAGGGTAGATCACAGCGCAGGCTTTCCTCACCCACTAATTCTCAAACCTGAGTCCAACCAGGATCAGCTCAAGGGCATATTACAACAGATCGCTGGCAGGGTTTCTGCCCCAGCAGCAGGCTGCCTGGGGCAGGGTTCTAAGAATTCCTATTTCTAACAAGAGCCCACACTTCGGGTACCACTGCTGTAGCCTCGGGATAATTTAGTCTAGCCTCATCATTGCTTCCTGTTGCTGTGTCATCCGCTGGATCCATGCATTAGACCTCTGCAGACTGAGGAAATTGAGCCCATTCCTCAGAATTCACCTACAGCAGAGCAGGCATTGTGGTGTCACAGAAAGGACCCCAGAATCAGGGTGCAAGCTCTAGGTTACGGACCTGCAGTATCAGCAGCTCACTGTGGGGGCCTCAGTTTCCTCATGTGCACACAATGAGCGCCCAGAGGAGAGCCACAGTCCCACTCCACCAGTCCAGAGGGAAGGTCTGATTTGACCCCCCTCTGCATGTCCACTGTCTACTATGTTCTAGACAAACACCCTCGAGATGCTATTCTTTGTCCATGTAAACTGTTGCTCCCTGCCTCCTCCTGAAGCCTAGGGCAACCTCGAGTTTTCCTGGTGATAGTGCCTCCGGTGGCCAATTGGCACCAGATGGGGAGACATTTGAGGTGGCCTGCCTTGTGCCCGATCTCATCCCGGTATCCAACCCAAGGACTGACCCTGTTTCTCAAAGTGCGTTTCCCAGTCCAGCTGCATTAGTCAGATGGAAACTTATAAGACACGCAAATTCTTGAGCCCACCCCAGACCCTCAGAATGAAAACTCTGGGGATGGACCACCAAGGCAGGGCCTCCAAGTCCTAGATTGCAGACCCTTTAAGAATCTAATACTATGGTTTACAAAGTGTGGTCCCAACCTAGCAGCAGCAGCATCACCCAGGAATTTGTTAGAAACACGAAATTGCAAGCCCCACCCTACACTCACTGAATCAGAAAATTCTGGATGTGAAGCCCAGCGGTGCGATAACACGTTGGTTGCTTTCCAGGTGATTTGATGCAGTTAAAGTCTGAGAACCGCTGGCTGGGAGCTGTGGTTCCCATTCCAGCTGCTTAACAGGATCACCTGGGGAGCTTTTAAAACTTGCTAAGGCCTAGCCTCCCCCCAGACCATTAAACCACAATTCTGAGGAGCTTTTACAAAGCTCTCAAGGTAACTGATGTAACTAGGAGTGGTAACAACTGGTTTCGAGCTCTTTAACTTCAAATATGATTTGCATACTAGTGCCTTGAGAAAGACGTAACTGAGAAAACAGGACTCCAGAGCCTCCCCCATGCCCCTGCCCAAGGACTCCCTCAGGAACAAAGGATTGCAAGGGTCTAAAGACACACTGTTAAACCTTCCCCCAGTCTGACCTCAGAAATAAATCCTGGCAGTGGGTGCAGCCACTGAACACCCTGCTTAGAAGCTTAGTGTTCTATTAACTTCCTTTTTGTTGTTTCCTTCTGCTTTGCCATCTTCTATATATAAAAAAGTATTAAGAGTTATCACAGTTTTCCATGGCCGAAGATCAGCACAGAGATTTAGAGTACACCTAAGGGGAGGCGTCATCCTATGATGAAAGCACTGGAATTAGGAAGCACCGGGATTTCGTCATCCTATGATGAAAGCATTTAGGATTAGAAGTGCCAGGGCCAGAGGCAAGCCAGCTAATTCCCTTAGACCTTGGCTGTTTTACTGTAAAAAGACAAGGTTGGACTAAATCTCTCTAAAGGTTCTGTTCTAATTTTCTACAATGGCTATGTTAAGACTTCTTGATCTGATCTTCGAAAGACCAGCACCCACAAGGTAATTTATCAGAAGGAATATTATCCTTTTGGTCTTATACAACTCTCTAAAGTTATGGCCAGATAAGCATACTACATGCAGACCTATCAGAAGTTCCAGGAATCAAGATAAAGCCTGAGTCCAGCGTGCAGTTGGGAGAAGTCCAGCAACTAAGGATATAAAGAAGCCACACTGAGACTGATAGGAGGGGTGGAGACGTGGAACAGGCTGGTCCCACACATACGTGTGGTGAAAAAATCAAGAGGACTATCTCAGCTATACAGGCCCCCCTAAGGAGCGAGGGGCCCAAGCCCCACACCATGCCCCCAGCCCAGGGTTCCAGTGCCAGGAAGAGAAGTCCTCATAACTTCTGGCTATAAAAACCAGCAGGAATTGAGGCTGAGTGAGATGAAGGGCTGCTGGAGTCCCAGGCAGTTCCTCCAAGGGCCCACACAGGGACTTACTTGGACTCACTCCCTCTGAGCTCCAGCGCTGGGGCAGCAGCTTTAAAAGTACCAGAGACACACAGGGAGGAACTGAATTGTATGGCTGCAGGGTGAGGATTAGAGGGGCAATTTTCTCCCAGACAGAACTGCTGGCAGAAGCCATTGTTCCTTTGCTGAGCCCTTTCCCCGCAGAGCTGGCAGGCAGGCATCATATCTGAGTCTCCATACAAATGGCCTGTCTTGGCTCATGCTTCAGACTTTCCTAAGATCTCTTAAAAAAGCAGCATCTGGACTCAGCATGCCTGTACCTCTAGCTAAGTGGCCGCAGGCCCGGCACCAGCAGCTGGCCTTGGTTTGCAGCTTGGCCTCTCCTGGGCACCTCCAAGCCCAGCACAAGTAGCAGCCATCGCAGATCGCTCTGTAGCTCATGCTGGGTGGCTCCAGGCAGAACGCAGGCAGCGGCTGATGTTGGCCTACACCGCTAAGAGCCCCAGAGCCAGTGTTCCTGGTTGAGAACTTCAGACCACACCACAATGAAGCACCATCCAACCACCTCCACAATGACACACGTAAGGGGCAGATTCAGTGGGCAGCTGAACCCACTGAAGTAAGTACTGCTCCACGGGATGGGCTCCTGCACAGCTGATCCTCCAGGGTGGTCACAGCCAGTCCTTGCAGCTGATTGGCCTGGGGGTAAATCCCTCACATTGATGGGCCAACAGCAACGAAGGCTCAACTACAACCAAAGGGTGTACACAGCCCACATGGGGGGCATACCTTAAGTGCCCAGCTCGGGGGAATGGGGAGGAACTGTGCCACAGGACCTTACAGGACACTTTCTACATAAGGTAACTCTACCAAGCCCAGGAGATGTAGCAATTCTACCTAATACATAGAAACAAACACAGGAGGCTGCCAAAATGAGGAGACAAAGAAACTTGTCCCAAATGAAAGAACAGAACAAAACTCCAGATCAACAACTAAACAAAATGGAAACAATCTACTAGATGCAGAGTTGAAAACACTGGTGATCAGGATGCTCAAGGAGTCTAGGGGAAGAGTAGATGAGCTTAGTGAAAACGTCAACAAAGAGATGGGAAACATAAAAATGGGACTAGAAAACATAAAAAAGACCCAGTCAGAAATGAAGAATACATTAACTGAAGTGAAGAATACATTATAGGGAATCTACAGTGGCATAGATGAAGCAGAGGGTCAAATCAGACATGGAAGACAAGGCAGCAGAAAACACTCCATCAGAAGTGACAGGATCTTAAGAAGCTATGGAAATTCCTTGACACATGAAATAAGGGAAACTGAGCCAAATAATTAAACAAGGCCAAACGATTTGAACAATTTACAGCCAGCTAATGAGTCACAAGGTTTTATATTCCCTCATCAAGGTCACCTAAGAGCAAAGGGTTTACACGTTGAGACTGTTCCCGGACAGGATGGCTTGGTCCTGATGCCCTCTTTTGTTGACATTCTTTGAAAATAAAACTAACCAGAAAATAACTTCTGACCCTTCTATACACACATTTTGATGAATCAACATATTGAAGGAGACACCTGCAAAGCTAATGAATATTCTGTTAAGACCCTCCCCTGAGATCTCCCCTAGGATTTGGCCAGCCAAAGAAAGATAAAAAGCTTCAAGACCAAGGTTCCTCATGGCTTTAATCTTCAAAGTTTCATTGTCCCTAGCTTTATTATTATTATTTTTTAAAATATATCTTCATTGATTTCAGAGAAAGGAAAGGAGAGGGAGAGAGAGAGAGATAGAAACATCAATGATGAGAGAGTCAATGATCGAGCCCGCAACCTGGGCATGTGCCCTGACCAGGAATTGAACCCCAATTGCCTGGATCCCAGGTCGATGCTCAACCGCTGAGCCATGCCCAGCCGGGCTGTCCCTAGCTTTAATAAACCTACTTTACCCGTGGTGCATTCTCACTAGAGCAAACCCATGACTCGTATCTCTGTTCTCTTTCTCTAAGGGTCCCCATGAGACTTGCAACCAAGGGAGCAGCAGGCTGTGGCAGCTTGTCCCGGGCTTACTCCCTGAACCTGTCTCCAAGGCCCCCCTTTTCTCTGTCTCTCTCCTGTTGCTTCTTCTACTGTAAGCCCTTCCTTTGTTTCACTGTCCCCAGCTTTAATAAAGGTACTCTCAAAATCACCTGGATTCATGTTGTGAAATATTTCCTGAACAAAGTCAAAAACTTACACACTACTGACGGACCCAAGGCAGACCTGCTCCAGGTCTGGTCCCCATCTGGTAACAACAATAGAAAAAAAATCCCTCAGAAATGAAAATAGTTTAAGGAGCCTCTGGGACACTTTCATATGTACCAACATTCACGTCATGGGG